GTTCCATCTCACAAAAGGAACTTCTTTCTGTCCCTTTGGGGTTGTTGGGACTCACAGCTGACATGTCCCCAACACTGAATACAACAGAACTGAAAGGCGCACATACACACCTGCTGTCTGAACAGGTTAGGTGTTCTCACGGTCACCTGGAGACCCTCAGTAAGGCCCTTTCCCACCAGCATCGCAGTAAGGAGAAGACTAGGTGGGGTGAGCATTACAAACACTAATTCTAACTCCCTCTGAAGGAGTGCCGTGTGCTGCCTGTCCCTCAGTCAGTGGCGATGGTTCTGCTGTCTCAGTTGCTGCCCTCGTGGTCTCTACAAAGGTTTGCGAGGATCTCCTAACCAGATTGCCATTTTCTGTAGGTGATAAGGAAGAAGCTTGTCCGTAAGACTCTGGACATGATCAAGAAGATTGCAGATGAGAAGTACAATGACACCTTCTGGAAAGAGTTTGGCACCAACATCAAGCTTGGTGTGATTGAAGACCACTCAAATCGGACAAGGCTCGCTAAACTTCTTAGGTTCCAGTCTTCTCACCACGCAACTGACATTACTAGTTTAGATCAGTACGTAGAGAGAATGAAGGAAAAACAGGACAAAATCTACTTCATGGCTGGGTCAAGCAGGAAGGAGGTGAGATGAGATGCTGCTGCTGGGCAGTCAGTGCTTGGGGGAAGAGGTTCATTGTTTAGCTTTTCACGGCCACTAGAGGAAGGACACTCAAGTCCTTGTTTTACACGGTAGTTCATGCTGTAGAGACGCATGCAGCTAATATGCCAAGGCAGAACTCTAAAAACACGCTTCCTTGAATTTTATAGGCTGAATCTTCCCCATTTGTTGAGAGACTTCTGAAGAAGGGCTATGAAGTTATTTACCTCACGGAGCCTGTGGATGAGTACTGCATTCAGGCCCTTCCTGAGTTTGATGGGAAGAGGTTCCAGAACGTGGCCAAAGAAGGTGTGAAGTTTGATGAGAGTGAGAAAACCAAGGAAAACCGGGAGGCAACAGAGAAGGAATATGAGCCTCTGCTCAACTGGATGAAAGACAAGGCCCTTAAGGACAAGGTACTGTGCAGAGGGCAGACTCCAGCATCTACACTCAAGAGTTATCCACAAACTTGTCTACACCTGCTGCCTTGGCGACCACTAGCGGTTGTAGAGAGTGGTGCTTGTAGCCTCAGGTACTCGGGTACCAACAGGAAATTCATTGCAGCTCAGTGACCCCTTCATCTGCCATGCCGAAGACCCGGGGTTCGGGCCCTAGCCCCGCACAGCAGCAGTAGAGTCAGATTTAGTACAGGCTGGAATGAGCTTGCATCTTAGAGAAGTTTCTTATTCTTCAGTATTGATTTTACTGATTTTGCCTTAAGTTTTTACAGGTTTAAGTTTAAATCTGTAGCTGAAAACAAAACAAAAATAACAGATCGAGTCAGTGTCACTCAAGTGTCATTCCTGATCTGAGTGCCTGTCTATCATCTGGGGTGGTGGATGCATTGCCTGCCTGCTAATGCTCACTCGGGTCTAACGTTTCTATCCTAAGATTGAAAAGGCCGTGGTATCGCAGCGTCTCACAGAGTCCCCCTGTGCTCTTGTGGCCAGCCAGTATGGATGGTCTGGCAACATGGAGAGGATTATGAAGGCACAAGCATACCAGACAGGCAAGGACATCTCTACAAAGTAAGTGCCTGGGGAATGTCCCTACCATGGTGCCAGCTCTTGTCCTTCTTTGTGCAAATGTACATTTTTCTGATCTGCTCCATCTATCATCCTTACCTTCCTTATTTTCCCTTTGGGTTAAGAATAACATCCATAGGTCAGGTGATAGTGACATATGCCTTAATCCCAGCACTGGTCTGCAGAGCAAGTTCTCTCCAGGGCAGCCATGACTACACAGAGAAGCCCTGTCTGGGGTGGGGATGGTGTCCACGTTTGCATCATGACCCACCAGACGGATGTGTGATCAATCCTCTGGCCTTGGAGTTGCAGAAATCATTGAAGTCACCAGGAAAATGCTAATGAACATGAGAATGTACAGAACACACTGCAAACTTTTCATTTAACTTAATTCTTTTAATTTAAAAAGTGAATCTTTAGGGGCTCATATTTCCTTTAGCAGCACCCATCACCGTATGACTCAGTTAAGGTATTAGGGGATGAAGAAGACATTAAACCAATTCCTTATCCCAGCAGAACTTGGTTACTTGGGAGTCATCATTAAATAGTTCCTTTTATTTTTTTTTTTTAACCTAGCCGTGGCCACTCCTCCTGTTAGGAGAAGCAATAGTGTTTCTTTAATTAAAGCTAGAATACATAAGGCATGTGGACCCTAAAATTGGTGTCTTAACCATTGTTCATCTTGTCTCTGAACAGTTACTATGCCAGTCAGAAGAAAACGTTTGAAATTAATCCCAGACACCCGCTCATCAAAGACATGCTGCGGCGGGTTAAGGTGAGTGGCGGTGTGCCCTCTCCTGCCTGTCTAAACTGGGTTCCAGTGTAACTCAGAATACTAACGGTGACCAAACGTGCCTTCTCTCAGGAAGATGAAGATGACAAGACTGTCTTGGACCTTGCTGTAGTTTTGTTTGAAACAGCAACACTTCGGTCAGGGTATCTTCTACCAGATACCAAGGCATATGGAGACAGAATAGAAAGAATGCTTCGCCTCAGTCTCAACATTGACCCTGAAGCACAGGTTTGTGTCCGTGGCTCTTCCGCAAGTTTTAATTAAGTGGTACTGTTTGAGAAGCTTTAGTTTTCACTGTAAGAAATAACTTACTCCATGCCTGAACCCCTGGAGTAATGTGAAATGGAGAACATCCCTGTGTTTTCCTTTCTGATAGTTTCCCCGTTAACAAAGATTTACTACAGTTCTTATTAAAACTCCCATTAGAATCTTAAACTGAAGAGCAAAATGAAAATGGATGGAAGGCATTTACCAGGTTCATGGATGTCACCCGTAGGTAGAAGAAGAGCCAGAGGAAGAGCCTGAAGATGCAGCAGATGACACGGCAGAAGACACAGAGCAAGATGAAGAGGAAGAGGTGGATGCCGGCACGGAAGAGGAAGAAGAACAGGAAACAACAAAGGTCTGGGGAGAGTGGGGCTGGACTGAGGCTAGCAGACAGACTTCTGATAGCTGATCACACTGGAGTCAGTCCATGTAGAGTGGGCATGTGATACCTAGCTCAGAAGCTTGGAGGGGGGAAGGTTTTACTCCTTTATTTTATCCAACCATTCACAAGATCAGATGGATCACACACACACAGCGCTGCCCCTGTGAGGAAACATTCGGGGAGTGGGGAGCACTGAGATAGGATACTCTGTAATCCTGTGTCACTGCCTCCCAAGTGCTAGGATTCAAGATGTACGCTACCATGCCTGGCTAACATTAGGTATTTTTCAGTTTTGATTATTTAGATTTAGACATTGATATTGGTGGGTTTTAAATTATTTGGCCAGTAAACAACTACAAACAAAATAGTATGAGCTGGGCGGTGGTGGCGCACGCATTTAATCCCAGCACTTGGGAGGCAGAGGCAGGCGGATCTCTGAATTCGAGGCCATCCTGGTCTACCAGAGCTAGTTCCAGGACATGCTTCAAAGCTACAGAGAAACCTTATCTCAGAAAAACCTAGAAAATAATATGAACAGTTTAAATGTGAGCCTTCCTGTAAGGGTTGGTGGCTAGTCTGTGAACGTCTTCTGATTTTTGTTTTCACAGGACTCTACAGCAGAGAAGGATGAACTGTAAATTACACTCTCACCACGGGCCCTGTGCTGAGCGGGAATGTGAAATGTTAGTCGTTTCTTTTCAGAGACTTGTTTGGGATGCTCCCCCACGCCCCTTCTCCCCTGCACTGTAAAATGTTGGGGTTATGGGTCACAGGAAAAAGTGGGTTTTTTAGTTGAGTTTGTTTTGTTTTGGTTTTTTTTTTAACATTCCTCATGAATGTAAATTTGTACTATTTAACTGACTATTGGTGTAAAATCTTGTCATGTGTATAAAATAAAAAAGGTCCCAAATACCCACTGGTTGTTCTCATGACACAAAGCAGGAATTCTGTAATACTTTTTCTTGTTCGTGCCTGCTAGGTTTATCCGGGTATGGTGGCTTGTGCTTTCAGATCGTCTTTCTTACTTAACAAGGTGGAACGCATGCAAATAATTCCCTCCAGAGATCAGAATGTGTAACAGCCTTCTGGAATCCGGACAGGAAGGGAAAACTATCTTCAGAGGTCATGGAACACTTAGATTGAGAAATCTTCACAGGATAGGGGAAGTTGTCTAGAAACCTAGGCCGTTAAATGGGTGGTGGGGATCGTGAGGGCCACAGTCTAATTAAGTCACTCGCTAGCGTTTGGAGCATGCTCGCACAGGCATTCCAGCTAGCCTCCTGAGTGCTAGGATTAAAGGTGCGCATACCGTGGTAATTTTACGTTAGCTGAGCATGGTGGTACACGAGACTGTGCCCAGTAAGACAGCCAGTGCCGGGAATAAATAGACCCTGCCAAAACCTTTAAACATTGCTGTCAGTGAGTGTTTGCTTGGCCTGAATGTGTGCCCATGGAAACAAAGCAAGCAGATTTTGAATTCAGGGTCAGCCTAATCTACTTACTAAATTCCAGGACCAGACAAGGTTACATAATGAGACACTTCTTAAACTGAAAACTCCCCTTCAGTGCCTTAGTCTGCTCATTACAGTGGATTTATAAAGACCTTGTCTGGGGCTGGAAAAGGGGCTACAAACAGCTTGTTGCTTATAAGACTGACATTCAGTTCCCAGAACCCATCTAGTGGCTCAAAACTAATCTATAACTCATATTCCAGGTAATCTAATGCCTTCCCTCCAGGGGCAATTCACATGTTCATACATTCATGCAATTTGTGTAAAATTTACTTATGGCAGGGGAGGTAGTTCAACAGAGGACCAGATTCAGTCCTCGGTGCCCACATGGCCTCTCAACCATATGTAACTGCAGTTCAGGGTATCTGATGCCCCTCAACTAGGCATGCATGTGGTGCACAGACATGCAAGCAATGCATTCATACATTAAAAAATAGGTCAGTTGTTGAATAAATTATCTTGTTCTATATTTATAGATTGAGCAAAATCTTAAAACGAGTTCATTTCCTAGAGCTGATGGTAGAAATCTAGGCGGCAGGAGATGTGGTGTCAGGTTCTGAAGGACAACACTGGAAGTGCTGTGTGAGTTCTGAGACTGTAGACTCCTTCCTTTCCTCGTCCAAGCTTCGGGTGCAGTGTGAGCAGGCCTTGTTCTGAGACTGCAGAATCCTTCCTTTCCTCGTCCAAGCTTCGGGTGCAGCCTTCAAATATTTGGTGTTCTTGGCTGGCAGTTCCAACGCTCCAATCTCAGACTGTCTTTACAAAATGTCCTCCCTGTGTCTGTTCTAGTGGCATTAAGACAGTGGTCACCGCATCTGGCCTACCCTCATGGCCCCAATCCTACACTCCCAGACACCGAGGGTTGAGGTCAACATTTTTTAGGGACACAGTTCAACTGCACTTTCATTTTATATGTATAAAGAAAATGCCAATTTTAGTTCACTTTCTCAAATTTTGGGGATTTAAGCACCTTGACAAGTTGTTACTAATGTTGCAATTCCATTAGGCACACAATTCCAAAGAACTTTGAATATTTTATACAGTTTAGTACAAATACTACTTCTCAATGTTTAGACCCTATAAGCATTCTCACTGACTTTTACTTCTTTAATTTATAACTTGCCATTATAACCAAGCTCATTCAGAGAATACTGGCAGGAGACATTGCAAATGTTCAGTCTCATCCTCCCGGCCAAATGCACGAAGCTGAAGCTTAGGCAGCTCTTATGAGTGCGGTCCTTCATACCTGTAATTCCACTATTTGGGAAGTGGGGGCTGGAGGACTCTCCTGAGGTCAACATGGGCTACACAGCAAGACTTTGTTGCAGAGGCCAGCCTGATGTGCACAGTGAGCTCCAGGTGAGACTAGAAAATACTGACCGAATCATAATAGAACATCTATCTTACCAGTTCCTATCAACCAGGCCAGCCTGATGTGCACAGTGAGCTCCAGGTGAGACTAGAAAATACTGACCGAATCATAATAGAACATCTATCTTACCAGTTCCTATCAACCAGGCCAGCCTGATGTGCACAGTGAGCTCCAGGTGAGACTAGAAAATACTGACCGAATCATAAAAGAACATCTATCTTACCAGTTCCTATCAACCAGCATTTGGTTTTGGATTAGATGATTTAAGAAGTAGTTTTACTCAATACATTTAAAAATATATGTGGAAAGTATTATTCACAGAATTCTTGGCAGAGTTGTATTTTAAAGCTTCTACTGCTGTGAAACCTGAGGTTCATGGTGTCTCTCTTTTAGTCCCAAGAGCTCCGTTCTCAGTTCTCCAGGCTTTGGTGGGATCTCAGGTATTGTCTATAAAAATAAAAACAAGAGCCAAAAGACAGTTGCTACCACATTCTGAGACAAGAGTTCAATGTGATCTGAAAAGCGTGAAAAAACAAAATTCCTTGTGCATGCTACTCAGCAACAGACCATGAGGAGGACCCCGATTCATCTACATTTCTTGCTGTCTGTGTGTTTATGATTAAATCATCTGGCAGTATCTTAAATCCTATAGTACTCACAGGATACATCCAATTGATTCACAATTTCAAATGAGAATTTCAACATTTGGAAACTCATTCCTGCACAACTTGCTGCTCTAAAATGACAATGGTAGTTACTGTATTCAAGAGTGGTCATCGTGTAAAACACATAAAGGAATGAGCAAAACACACACAATTCTGCCTTTGAGGAAGGCAGGAAGACAGGCATGGATGCAGCATGTGCCGCTGAGTTTAATTCCCAGCACCACAAAAGAAAAAAAGTGGCTTTCACTACAGTATGATCAAAGCTCTAAGTCTATCACAACAGAATTCTAGAACCTTCACCACCCCAAAAGAAACTCCTCTCTCATTCCCAGTTCCCCCACAAGCCACTTCTGTCCACATATATTTGCCCATTGTATATCATGTAGTCTTTTGCATGTTTTCAAGGTTCATTCATGTAGAATCATTGAATAATTTATTTTTCAATAAAAATAGATATCTTTATATAGATATATCATGTTTTATACAGGTATCTGCATTGTTCCCACCTATGAACATAAACAAGGTCAAACATCTGTATGATGGTGTATGTCTTGGTGTTTGTTGGGTGGAAACCTAGAAGGGGAATTGCTGGGACATACGCTGTTGGAGGAACTGCCAGGCGATTTCAAAGCAGCTCCCGACTTTATATTTCCCCTGATAGTGCATGAGGGTCCCAATTTCTCCACGTCCTTGGCAACTGTTTATGACGGACATCACACCGGTGGTTCTGACTGCGTTTCTCGGGTGGTTAAGGAGCATCTTTTCATGACTTCTGAACACAGGTATGAAGGAAGATGAGGAAGCCATCTTGCAGGTGTCTATGAGTTTTGGAGGCTGATGGGATCACAAAGGCAGAGGACCTGAGCCACGACTGTGCCTTCGTGTTCAAGGAAAAGCATCGGTACATCAGATACAGCATTCCAGAGGATAGAAGGCTGGCTTGTGGGAAGTGGAGGGGGACATAAAGACTCCGCTGGCCTCCACTCTGGGGAGAGTTCTGAGAACGACCTGACCTGACTCAAGGATAAAAGATGCTGATAGACCAGGAGTGGATGGCAGAAGACGGTCAGGAAGCTCCTATATTAACGGAGGAAGGTGGTAACTGATGTGGCCTGAACACGGTAGGCACAATGGCGGCTCGAGAAGTGGGCAGGATGTGGATGGATCTTTCATAATCCCCCAATGGGATTTGTTGAGGCATGCAGTGACTTATGATGACTCTGGGGTTTCAGTCTAAATAACTGCAAGAAGACAGCTGTCACTTCTGCTGTCCTTATGCTGGGCAACTAAAAGCATCCTTAACTGTTCCCCGCAAGTCTGCACTGAGTGCCAACCCTGGGCAGCCATCATGGTCTCTCCTCTGCTCTCTCCCTAAATCTTTTAGTTTTTATATCAGTAGTGGCTGGAATAATTCCAAAAGACTAGGTGGGCAAAGGACACAAATTCCTTAAATACTAGGAAAACATACAGCATCCTATAGCAGCCAGTCACCTGGGCCTTTAAGTCTATCAGGAAAGATACCCTGCTGCCAACGTGACCACCCAACCCGACTGACGTGGCCTAGGACCCTTAATGCGCTCATTTTTTTTTTTTCGTTTTTCGAGACAGGGTTTCTCTGTGGTTTTGGAGCCTGTCCTGGAACTAGCTCTTGTAGACCAGGCTGGTTTCAAACTCACAGAGATCCGCCTGCCTCTACCTCCCAAGTGCTGGGATTAAAGGCGTGCGCCACCACCGCCCGGCTAAAGGGACTGTTTTTTTTTTCTTTTAAGATTTACTTATTATGTATACAACATTCCTTCCATGTATGCTTGCATGCCAGAAGAGGGCACCAGATCTCATTACAGATGGCTGTGAGCCACCATGTGGTTGCTGGGAATTGAACTCAGAACCTCTGGAAGAACAGTCAGTGCTCTTAACCTCTGAGCCATCTCTCCAGCCCATGCGCTCATTTTTGTTTTTTTTTTTAAATATTTATTAATTTTTTATGTATACAATATTCTGTCTGTGTGTATGCCCGCAGGCCAGAAGAGGGTACCAGACCTCATTACAGATGGTTGTGAACCACCATGTGGTTGCCGGGAATTGAACTCAGGACCTTTGGAAGAGCAGGCAATGCTCTTAACCCATGCGCTCATTTTTGAGACTGCTTTTTGTGTTGCCTTCTCTGAGTACAGGTAGCTGCTGGTAACAACTCTTGTACACGTCCGGTAGTAATGAGATGAATCAAGTCAACCTCACAGGATCAAAGTCTAGGCATTATTTCCTTGGTTAAGAGCTGCTGGGAACTATTTCTGCAGAAGACACAAAACTGCATTTCTGTGGCAAGTTCTTGCCACTTTTTGTCTCCGCTAAGTTTCTTGACATTCACTGTCATCCCTCCCCCACCCAGGACAGGGTTTCTTTCTGTAGCCTCAACGGTCTCAGAACTCCCTCTGTAGACCAGGCTGGCTCACTCTAACTCTTAAAGAGACAGTCTTTAAGTGTTAAGAGCGAACTGTTAGAGCACTGTTTAACCGAACACCCTGAACGCTCTACACGTCAAGAGGGGCCAAGCAAATGAACGGACGGAATGCTAGGGTGTGGCCCCAGGACGGGCACGAGCCCCGCAGCACTCACCAGGTCAGGCCGGTAGTACCAGTGCACCACTTGGGCCCCGGCGCACATGGCCAGGAGGCTGGAGGAGAGCATTTTCACGTAGGCGGACCAGGGCACGCCCCCGGGCATGGTGGAAAGCTGGCAGGCAAGGAAAGGGCGCGGCGTTAGAGGGGTGAGTGGGTGGGTGGCTTCTACACTGGGCGATGGTTGGGGCACCCGAGGTGCAACCCGCGCGGCTCCCTCCTCGGTGACTGGCGAGCGGCGCTGCACCCGCTCGGCTTAGTAGGTGGAGGGCGGGCCCGGTGTGTCCTCACCCCTTCCGCCTGTCAGGGAGCAGCTACTGCCCCTCGCTCCTGCCCCGGACCACGCGAGCTCGTGCTCAGGGCGACCCGAGGTCCCGTCAAGCCCCGGAGCGCAGTCAGGGGGCTGGACCCAAAATGCAAAGGCACCGGAGCCACGCCGGAGCGGAAAAACGAGGGCAATGCGTGCGCAGGCGCATTCGTGTGCTTCTAGCGGAAGTGAGGCGCTGAGTTTATTTTTCGGTTTTTGTTTTGATCGCTTCCACGTTTTTAGGCAGAATACTCGTGGTCACTGTCCCCATCGTGTCGTTTGCCTTCCCTGGCCATGGTGTGGTATTTACGGCATCATTTCTCCTTTCGCACAAAGGAAGCGACACGACCCCGTCCCCCTCCCGTGGTTAGGAGGAGAGATTTCGCAGCTGCACCCGTAGTGCTCCTGCCAGAGGTCACGCTCTTGAGCCGCGTTTCTCAACTTGTGGGTCGGTACCTCTTGGGTCAACCTGGGGGTACCATATTTACATTGTAATTCATAATTGTAGCAAAATTACAGTTAAGAAGTAGCAATGACATAATCGTATGGTTGGGGGTCACCACAATGTGAGGGATTATATTAAAGGGTCAGAGCATTAGGAAGGTTGAGAACACTGCTCTGGAGAAAGATCAAAGGTCTTTTCTCTCTGGTTCTGAAGGTCTTTAGGACTTCACATAGAGTCACGCCCAAGCATGGTGCCTTCGAGAGACAGTGTTTCTGGAAAAGAGACCTCCAATCTATGCAACTCAACCTATGAGTTTTTAAAGATGGTGCTGGGTGTATTGATTCATTTTTTTCCTTTTCCTTTTCTTTTCTTTGTTTTACATTACAACCACAGTTTTTCCCTCCCATCCTTCTGTGAATTCATTTTTGTTAAGCAAACTGCAAGAATTAATTCTGAAGAATTAAGGTGGCATTGTGTAACGTGAATCGTGAGACCATTTTTACAACTTTGGCCCCGAAAATGGCTCAATGAGTGAGGTTTGTTGCTAAACCTAACCCAATTTTGCTCCCCTGTCCCTACATGGTGGAAGCAGAGGGCCAACTCCATGAATTGTTCTCTTACACACACCCACACACGCACACTTTTTTTTTTTCACGGTGATTGTAAGGTCCTGTATCTGATCAGGACACCCAAGACCATGTTCTCTGCACCAAGATTTCTTTGCCCGAGAAGGACTGGGCAAAGAATAAGAACAAAGACAGGAGATAGAAGATGAGGAAGAAAGGGGAAGGGAACAGGAGAGAAAGTGGAGGATTATTTTGGGGGCAGGAGGACAGAGTGACTACAAAGGATTACCTCTAGATAGAGAGGAGACAGACATGACCCATAGGCAAATGGAAGTTTATAAATGTAAAAGGGGAAACCCAGTGTTAGGATGAGTTGGTGTGTTTTGAATGGGCATGTTACTTAGGTGAACCAAAGGGGGCTTTTGATTACTGGACATCAATACTTTGACAGCTGAGCATGAGCCCTTGCCTGCAGCTGCTCTGAGCACAAGACCCTGATGGTGAAGTGAGTTCTGATGAGGCCTGCAGCTGAAAGATCCCGAGATCTGGAGCGTGGCCAGAGCCCTCTATAAGTTGCCCCTGAGCACATAAAGTTGGCATTCTTTTTTTTTTTTTTTTGTTTTGTTTTTTTTTTTTTGTTTTTCGAGACAGGGTTTCTCTGTGGTTTTGGAGCCTGTCCTGGCACTAGCTCTTGTAGACCAGGCTGGTCTCGAACTCACAGAGATCCGCCTGCCTCTGCCTCCCAAGTGCTGGGATTAAAGGCGTGCGCCACCACCGCCCGGCTTAAAGTTGGCATTCTTATATATCGAGGATGACTCGTGTCGGCTTGGTTCCCGGCGCTCGCTCTCTCTCTCTCTCTCTCTCTCTCTCTCTCTCTCTCTGTGTGTGTGTGTGTGTGTGTGTGTGTCTCCCCTTCCTCACCCCCCCCCCTTTTGGTTTTCATGAGGCAGGGTTTTTCTGTAACAGCCCTGGCTATCCTGGAACTCACTTTGAACACCTCAATCTCAGAGATTCGCCTGCCTCTGCTCCCACTGAGCGCTGGCATTAAAGGAATGCGCCCTACTCACTACCTGCCAGCTTTTGTTAAAATATCCCAGAATGAAAGACACCTGGAGCACAAACCCATGACCCTCTCTGGGCTCACGTATCACAGGAGGGAGAAGTCTTTTTAAATTGACACACATGAACCTCTGTCGTGGCACAAACTAGGCAAGTCTAATTCACATCCATGTTTCTCATCATGTAACCTGAAGAAACAGGAAAGCTTATCACTAGAAGAGTTGTCTAAGGGAGTCTGGCGCTAACAACCGTGACAGATGTCAAGAAACAAAAACCCATTCCGAGAACCCCCAAAGCCACGTGTGGTGACACACGCTTGTAATCCCAGTCAGAACCCAAGAGACTGACTTAGGTTGTTGAGGCCAGTCTGCACTGCGGCCACAAAGTTCTAAGTCAGGCAGGGGTGCAGTGGGATCGTCTTTAAAACCAAGAACCGCTGAGAAGTAAAAGTGGGATTGGTGTATAAGATCGAGGGAAGCCGCGATGCACGCAGCGTCATGGACTTAAAAGGTTAGTGTTCGCCCAGCTACTAAGAGCCTCGCTTTACAGATTCATAAACTGAGGCCCAAAAGACAACAGCCTCCAACTCTTAGCTTTTCCATTTCCAAACAGAAAATCCCCCACTCCCCATCACAGTTACAGTTTAAATTTATTATTATTATTACTATTTTTATTGTGTTTTGTTTTTACTTTTCGAGAGTGGGTTTCTGTGTAGCCCTGGCTGTCCTGGAACTCACGCTGTAGATCAGGCTGGCCTCAAACTCAGATCGGCCTGCTTTTGCCTCCCGAAAATGACAGGCAGAGCACAAAACTGGGGTCGAAAGCCATAAAGTTGTCACCAAGCCTAAACGTCCACCCACACATCCCAAAGCCGGACCGGAAACTCAGCGCCCACAACAGCTGACGTCAGCCCAGCGCTCCCCAGCCACCTCTTTCGTTTCCCGAAAGGCTACGCGGCGGCCGGCGTCACGTGATGGCGCGCCGCCCCCTCTTCGGAGGGAGCCGGAAGTGCGCCCGGTGAGCTAGCGCCGCGTCCGTCTGCCGGCCGCCCCCGATCGCGTGGTGAGTCCTTCGCGCGCGCGCCGAGCGGCAGAGCGGGCGCCCGAGGGCCCCGGCACGAGCGGCCGCACCCTGAGCGGCGCCGCCATGGACGCGGAGGGCGCGCGCAGGTAACGCGGACGCTCGCCGCTGGGGTCGTCCCGTGGGCCGCGGCCCGCACAAAGGCCGGCCTGCGCGTGCGCGCTGGGGGCCGGCCCGCCTCTCTCCTCCTTTCCCCTCCCCTCCCCCCAGCCCGAGGGGGTCCGCCGGGCCCGGGTACCCGCGAGCTTTAAAAGGCGGCGCGCGTGGCCGCAGCCCCCGTACGCGGTTCTGCACCTTGGGTCACCGGGAGCAGTGATGATGCAGCGGGGCGCGGTTGATGGGGTCGCCGGGTGGATGCTCTCGCTTGTGGACTGTGCGTGTGTAATGTGCAAGGAAAGCGATCCGGACATTGTACCTCTCCGGTGGCCCTGCAAAGGATGATGTCACGGGGGTGTTGCCGAACCATAGGTCTAGAGATTAGACTCTTTTTTGTGGCTGTTGTTTTTGTTTTTCGAGACAGGGTTTCTCTATAGCTTTCGAGCCTGTCCTGGAACTAGCTCTTGTAGACCAGGCTGGCCTCGAACTCACTGAGATCCGCCTTCCTCTGCCTCCCGAATGCTGGGATTAAAGGTTCGCTCCACCATCGCCTGGCTGAGATAAGAAAAACAAGATGGCAGGTCCTCCGCGGATAAACTGATGCTTGTTAACTTATTAGGCCTGGTGAAGAATTAGCGTGCCTCCCTCCGTAGCGAATTGGACAATGAACTTAGGCAAGACTTTCACCCTCTCTTCCCCTTCCTGTGCTGTCTTACACCTCTGTGAACGGGTCGTGGGGGCTGATGGCAGATCTCGAGACTGAAGTGAAAGCCTGACTTACAGCTGAAAGACTCAAGGACACACTGTAGGTCTATCTGTCCTCAACTCTGTTCCTCAACAGTTTACCAGCTGCAGGGTGCCAGTGGCCTGTTGATGAAAGGGATGTCTGACCCAGCTTAACTTTCAGAGGGGTTTGTAGAACTGATGGATTGAATCAGTCTCATAAATAAGAGCTAAATGAATGGGATAGTGAAGCATTAACAAAACGAGGCATAGTCTTATACAGAAGTGCAGGGAAAACCATATAATAGCTTGTCCCCAGGAAGAGGGGAACTAACTACTCAATGTCATGCTGGTCTGTATTTGGAGTATTCAGTATCTGTGTGTGTGTGTGTGTGTGTTGAGAAACCGGAGACAGCTGTAGGAATGAGTCCTGGGAACGGGGAGGGGAGTGAAGAAGGGGCCTAAGAGAGAAAGCAGTTTGAAAAGGAAAGAGGCCCGGGAGCAGTTGAGACCAACAGATAAGGGAAGAAAAGAACCGGCCTCTTTCATGGAGATTTTGAGATTGACACAGAATGGCAGGTCTAGGTCCTGTAATAGTTCATCACCTTCTTCCTGCATTAGAATCGCCTAGACAACACAGCTCCCGATCTGTCCTTAGGGTGTTTGCAGGGAAGTTAACTGAGGAGCTGCTCAGAGTGTGGTGGTGCCGTCAGCAGTCGGTTGCTGGAGGCCTTTTCTTTGCAGGATCTCGGATGGCACTGCACAGAAGAATGCCAGGATGAGAAAGGGCAAAGCAGATGTAGTAAGCCTGACAGGTAGTGGAAAGGGTTGTACGAAAGCACTTTTTATTGTTTTACTTTTAGTATTTATTGTGTATGTGCGTGCGCCCACATGCGTACTCCGGCATGCCTATGTGTGGGGATGCCCAGGCGCCACAGCCCAAATACGGAGATCAGAGGACAATTGACTGGAGCTTGTTTTCTTCTTCCACCTTGTGGGTTCCAGATATCAGACTCAGGTTACCATTCTTGGTGGCAAGGATCTTTGTCTGCTGAACCATGTCCCTGGTCCAAGCTTGGTGGGGTGGTGCTTAGTGTAAAAGTGTAGCACACACCTAGGATGTGGGTACAGCTCAGGAGGTGTCTCCAGTGGCTGTGTATAACATTCTGTGTCTTTATACTATCTAGCTGAAGGTATATCATTTACAGCAAGGTTTAAAGACTAAATGAAAAAAGATATGCACACGTGTCTTAGTTACTGTTCTATTGCCGGGAAGGGACGCCATGACCGGCTTTTAAAAAAGAAAGCATTTAATTGGGGCTTGCTTAGAGTTTCATAGAGTTAGTCCATGATGGCACTGTAACTAAGAGCCTTGCCTCTGCCTCCTGAGTGCTGGGATTAAAGGCGTGCACCACCACCTCCTGGCTCTGAACGCATGTGTGTGTGTGCGCGCGCATTTTAAAGAAATAAAACTTTAAAAGAGATAGTTACTATTTTTCCTCACTGGTGCTGAACCTTTGAGGCAAAGTTCTGTTCTCTACGATTGGGCTCCTGTTGTCTTTGGTTTTGTTTTTTTTTTTGTTTTTTTTTTTGTGTCCCCCCCCCCCCCCCCAAGAAAGAAAGGCTTTTGGATATTGCTTCATTTGAAGGCTTAGGTTTGGAGTGGGTTTTGGTTTTTCTCTTGATTTCTGTTTTGAGTCAGGGTCTGTCTGTAGCTGGCATTCACAGTCCTGCTTTCTCCTCACCAGGGTTGGGATAACAGGTGCACTTCTCCTTTCCAGCAAGGCCTGCATACTTTACTTTTACACTTCATGAAGTGTAAGTCTTGTTCAGAAGACAATCCAGAGGTGTCTGTTTCTTCAGTTAAACAGATACTTATAATCCACCTCTACTGTCCAGGAAGTGACAAGCAACAACTAAAACACGCCAACAATAATAAAAACCAAGTCCAGTGGATTCATTAAAAAAGCACACCAACAGCCAGGCAGTGGTGGCACACACCTTTAATCCCAGCACTCAGGAGGCAGCCAGGGCTACTCAGAGAAACCTTGTCTCAAAACAAACACACACATACAAACCAGAAGAAAACCTAAGTTACACTGTTAGGATGGGGAAATCTTTGTGCCAAGATGGGGATATAAATTGTACTTGTGAATATTTTTAATTCATACGGATTGATGGATTGATAGTCCTTCAAGACTATCCACTAGAAAGTTGCTGCGATCTAGTTTCAGAGAGAGTATAGATGACTTGACAGGACTGGCGGCTTCAGTGGCACATCCGGTCACTTCACAGTGAGAGTCAGTTTGTGTGGTGAACGCTTGGTAAACGTCAGGGAGCAGCGCGCCCTGGGAGGGTCAGCTTTCCTCCTCTCCTGTTGTCTTTGAGTAATTACAGTCTGGCTATAAAATACCTGGATACTGAAGATCTGTCCACCCGATCACGTATACTCACAACTTGTTACCCGACTGTTCTTTCAGCTGTTCTCTGGAGCAGGGTCAGGGTTTTCACTCCTTTCCATTTCAACAAAGGATGGCCGAAGCTCCCAACATGGCGGTGACGATTGACCAGCAGATGCCAGCAGAAGCTCCTGCCCAGGAACCTGAACCTGTACCAGGTAGTTCTTAGCATGCTGTTTTAAAAGCACCCCCCAATGCCTCCTCCCTAGGTAAAGCAGTAGTAAACACATGTTCCACATCTGCACACCCGAGGCCTTACGTCACTAGCATCTGACTTGGGCTCAGGCAGCAGAACACCAACAGAGCTCTAAAGGTCGGTAAAGAGGCATTCCGTGAGTGACAGAGAAGAGAAGGTGCCACTGAGGGGGCTGCGTTGAGGCATGGCAGCCAAAACTCTGAGCGGTTGTGTGGATTCTGAAGTAGAGGAGGAAATGGTGGGCAGTAGGGCTTGTGTAGACCCTGAGCAGTGGAGAGCTGTTGAGAGTGGGAGCAAGGAATTGACTTAAATGGGCATTTTAAAGTCAGTCTGGAGGATAGATTAAGAGCAAGACAGGCTTGATGGCGGGAAGTGGATTAGAGACTGTTTATATAACCTGAGGAAAATAGGAGGAAAATTGGGGAAATGGGGAAAGTTGGGAAATACTTGAGGTAGGATTGCTAGTCTAGAGTTACTGTATTTCATGTAAATGCCGAAGGAAAAGGAGAAGCCCAAAAGCACTTTTCGTGGTCTAGTACATGATTGGGTGACATTACTATATTTATGTGTGTTTTGCCTGTTTGTGTGTCTACACACATGTGTACCTGGTGCCCACAGAGGCCAGAAGAGGGCATCAGATCCCTGGAACTGCGGTGGCAGACAGTTGGAAGATGCCATGTGGGTGCTGAAAATTGATCTCAGGTCCTCTGGAGGGATAGCTGATCTGCTCTTAACCAGTGAGATATATTCCCAGCCCCTGGTGACTTTTTTTTTTTTTTTTTGGTTTTTCGAGACAGGGTTTCTCTGTGGTTTTAGAGCCTGTCCTGGAACTAGCTCTTGTAGACCAGGCTGGTCTCTAACTCACAGAGATCCGCCTGCCTCTGCCTCCCGAGTGCTGGGATTAAAGGCGTGCGCCACCACCGCCCGGCCCCTAGTGACATTTTTTAAAAGTTTTATTGTGTTGTTTTATGTGTATGGGTGTTTTACATGCCTCTATGGTACCTTCGACTAGAAGAGGGTGTGAGGTCCCTTGAACTGGAGCTACAGGTGGTTGTGAGCTGCCGTGCGAGTGCCAGGTCCCCTGCAGGAGCGGCCAGCGCTCTTAACCACTGAGCATCTCTCCAGCCCTGAGAAGGGGTTTGTGCACAGCTCTGTAGGTTCAGGGGCATGGCACCAGCATCCGCTCAGCTCTGGGGAAGACCTCGTGGTAGCTGGCACCACAGTGGCAGAGTGTGTGTAAGAGAGAGAATCCCATCCCCCACAAGAGCCCCAGAGACAGGGATCTGATAGTGCCTTCTGAGGCGTTCCTCCAGCTAACCCAGGGGCCTTAAAGGTTCCACAGCTCCCAGAGGACTAAACATCAAACACGGGGCTTTTGGTGGACAGACTCAAGCATTATCAAAGCACTGTTGGTTACGGGAAGTGCCACACACTGGGGTGAAGAATTAGAAGAGAAGCCAGGAGGTTGAAGGGATGGAGGTGGCGTAGTGGTGGCAGTATTTACACGAGGGATGTGCTCAGAGTTGGTGCATCGCTCCAGGGCTGCTGCACCTCACTTATTGGCTAGAGCTGCCTCCTGTCTGCTTCTGCCTCTTGAATGCTGGTATTAAAGATGTGCACCATCTTGTCCAGCTTTGTTCAAAAATGTGCTTACTTAATTATTCGTGTACTGATAGAATTCCTATAAAGTGGTTCCCTGGGGAAACCAAGTGAGACTGTATAGGAAATCAGTCTGTGACTCACATATTGCAGGAGTCTGCTTGTGTGTTCCCGGCTGCCCAGACTCCCGAAATAATCACACAGAAACTATATTATTTGTAATATTGTTTGGCCAATAGCTTAAGCGTATTTCTGGCTAACTCATATGTCCTAAACTAACCCATCTCCATTAATCTGTGTATTGCCATGTGGCGGTGCTTACTGGCAAAGTTTTGGCATGTCTGACTCTGGTGGCAGTGACTCCCCAACTCTGCCTTCCTTCTCCCAGCATTCAGTGTGGTTTTCCCCGCCTAGCTCTGTTCTGCCCTGCTCTGCTATAGCTCAAAGCAGCATCTCTATTAACCGATGGTGTTCACAGCACACAGAGGGATCCCACTCAGTTACATGTGCCTGGATGGAGAGGAAAGGGGACACATTGCAGAAGCCAGCGTGGGGAAATCGGATAGCACGGGTGTTCATGGCTGGCTGCTGTGGAGGTCCACATTCTGTAAATCCCTGTGTTTCAGAGGCTCCAAAGAGAAGGAAAAGAAAAACCAGAGCATCAGAACCCCAGGACCCCATGGAACCCAAAAAACCTGCTGGGTCAAAAAGATCTGGCAAGTCCACAAAGTCAAAAGAGAAGCAAGAGAAGATTACTGATGCGTTTAAAGTGAAGCGGAAAGTGGACCGCTTCAACGGGGTTTCTGAAGCTGAGCTGCTCACCAAGACACTGCCCGACATCTTGACCTTCAATCTGGACATTGTGATCGTAAGAATCTTTGTCCTTCCTGACAGTAAATATCGCTAGAGGATTAACTTAGCGGTGGTCCCTACAAATCACATTCTTCTGAACAAGTTTCTGAGATCCTTCTGGGGCTGAGTGGTGTTACCTTCGTGAGGTTGTGTTGCGTGGGGCGAATAGGAGGTGAGCCTGAGATGGGGCTGCCTGCTTTCACACCTCCCAACAAGGGAGGCCACGGGCAAGCCTTCATCTTACAGTTTTATCACTGGAGAAGCCTGAGTTTCTCCCTCACAGGGTCGCACTGAGTGAAGTAATCGTGTGAACCACTTAGGTTGTATGATAGTTGGTAGTTCTCGGGAAATGACGGTACTGGAGTGGTTTTGCTTCTTGATATTTTGAGGTAGACTCACTGTGTAGCCCTGGCTGGCCTCAAACTCACAACAGCCCTTGGTACCTCTGACTCTATTACAAGCCTGTGCCACACATCCAGCCTAACAGTACTTTGAGCTTAGGTCTGTAACTTTAAGAAACTAGAACCAAATGAACATCAGTGGATAGCGTTGTAGGCGGTCTGTAGAGTGAGTGACTGTTTGGGTGGCTGGCAGGATGTGGCTCAGACTGGCTGCTGGAAGATCCACCTCTTCCCTGAATGAAAGCAGCATGTCTCAGTACAGGGTCCAATTGGCCTTTTGAAAATAGCAAATTTTAGAAAGAAGTTTCTCTATGCTGCAGTAATTATAATCAATTCCATTTTATCTGGCACTCCTGTATAAAAGTCCGAAGGCTTAAGCCTGACTTTTTGTTTTCTTTTTTAGCATGTTATAATAGTGCAGTATACCAGGCTTCATTGTGTTATATGTATATGGTGTACTTTGTGTTTACCCCCCAGTTATCCTCTTGTCCTTCCTTCCCTGATCCTTTTTCTTATTAAATGCTCTACCTTTTCTTTTTTTCTTTTTCTGTTTTTTTTAAAGATTTATTTATTTATTATGTATATGACATTTGGTCTCCATGTATGCCCTCACGCCAGAAGAGGGCGCCAGATATCACTACAGATGGTTGTGAGCCACCATGTGGTTGCTGGGAATTGAACTCAGGACCTCTGGAAGAGCAGCTGGTGCTCTTAACCACTGAGCCATCTCTCCAGCCCCCTGGCTTTTTTGTTTTGTTTTGTTTTTTTGAGACAGAGTTTCTCTGTGTAGTCCTTACTGTCCTTTAACTTGCTCTATAGACCAAGCTGCCCTTGAACGCAGAGATCCACCTGCCTCTGCCTCCCTAAAGGCATGTGCCACCATAGCCCAGCTTTCTTTTTTTTCTTTTTTCCTTTTCTCATATCTAGACCACAGTTTCCTCTCCGTCCCCTCTTCCCAGCCTCCCCCCCACCCCACCAGATCCACCTCTCTCTCCGCCTCCGTCAGAAAAGGGCAGGCCTCCGGGAGGGCATCAACCAGACGTGGCATAACAAGCCACACTCAGGTCAGGCACAGGCCATCCTGTCTAGGCTGGACAAGGCAGCACAGTAGGAGGGAAAGGACCCTACAAGTAGGCCAAAGAGTCAGAGATAGCCCCCGCTCATTTATTGTTTAATAGAGACTTTTTAAAAGGAAGAACTTAAGACCTGTTTTTACAGATAAAACTGTTTATTTTGTTTTGTAGATTGGCATCAACCCAGGACTGATGGCTGCTTACAAAGGGCACCACTACCCTGGACCTGGGAACCATTTCTGTAAGTTCTACTTCCACTTTAGAATGAGCTGTTCTTATTAGGATTAATGGGCTGACTTTATGAAGATGATAGCAGCGAGGGCTCATTCGTCCCTAGTGAGCTGGCACTGCTACTACTGTGTGCCCTGCATATGTAAGACGTTCGTACGTGTTCCTCTGCATATGGAAGAAGTTCGTACGTGTTCCTCTGCATATGGAAGACATCCATACGTGTTGCTCTGCGTATGTAAGATGTTCGTATGTGTTCCTCTGCGTGTGTAAGATGTTCATACGTGTTGCTGAGTATGTAAGATGTTCGTATGTGTTGCTCTGCATATGTAAGATGTTCGTATGTGTTCCTCTGCATATGTAAGATGTTCATATGTGTTGCTGAGTATGTAAGATGTTCATACGTGTTGCTGAGTATGTAAGATGTTCGTATGTGTTGCTCTGCATATGTAAGATGTTCATACGTGTTGCTCTGAGTATGTAAGATGTTCGTATGTGTTGCTCTGCATATGTAAGATGTTCATACGTGTTGCTCTGAGTATGTAAGATGTTCGTATGTGTTGCTCTGCATATGTAAGATGTTCGTATGTGTTCCTCTGCATATGTAAGATGTTCATACGTGTTGCTCTGCGTATGTAAGATGTTCGTATGTGTTGCTCTGCATCTGTAAGATGTTCGTATGTGTTCCTCTGCATATGTAAGATGTTCATACGTGTTGCTCTGAGTATGTAAGATGTTTGTATGTGTTGCTCTGCGTACGTAAGATGTTCATACGTGTTGCTCTGAGTATGTAAGATGTTCGTATGTGTTGCTCTGAGTATGTAAGATGTTCGTATGTGTTCCTCTGCATATGTAAGATGTTCATACGTGTTGCTCTGCGTAAGATGTTCGTATGTGTTGCTCTGCGTATGTAAGATGTTCGTATGTGTTCCTCTGCATATGTAAGATGTTCATACGTGTTGCTCTGAGTATGGAAGATGTTCGTATGTGTTCCTCTGCATATGTAAGATGTTCATACGTGTTGCTCTGCATATGTAAGATGTTCATACGTGTTGCTCTGAGTATGGAAGATGTTCGTATGTGTTCCTCTGCATATGGAAGATGTTCATACGTGTTGCTCTGAGTATGTAAGATGTTCGTATGTGTTGCTCTGAGTATGTAAGATGTTCGTATGTGTTGCTCTGAGTATGTAAGATGTTCATACGTGTTGCTCTGAGTATGGAAGATGTTCGTATGTGTTCCTCTGCATATGGAAGATGTTCATACGTGTTGCTCTGAGTATGTAAGATTTTCATACGTGTTGCTGAGTATGTAAGATGTTCATACGTGTTGCTGAGTATGTAAGATGTTCATACGTGTTGCTGAGTATGTAAGATGTTCGTATGTGTTGCTCTGCATATGTAAGATGTTCATACGTGTTGCTCTGCGTATGTAAGATGTTCGTGTGTGTTGCTCTGCGTATGGAAGACGTTTACACAGACGCTTCACTGCCTACTGGAGCAGTGCATGTGTCAAGAAACACTCCTTATCCAAGAGTTAAGATTCCAGACGTTTAGGCCCTAAGTCATAATGTACTTCTGAAACTAGCACCATATTGTCCCTGTTATTGTTTTTAATTCTGAGGAAGAATGTTTTAGTTTCCTCCTCTCCGGGTGTTTTAGTCTAGAGGGCAGTCCAAAGGCGGATGGTGGCAGTACCAGTAACTGGTAGAACACGGTTTGAAGCTGTGTGTGCAAAGATGCTAGTTTCTTGTAGGAAAGTATTGGTTATTAACATCATAGAGGTTAGCATGGTATCCAGCCTGCTTTCATTATTGAGTATGGGATTAGAGCTGGGTTGTAAGTCCTTTATCTCCCTCCAGGTGTAGTGTAGACTATTCCGACTATTCCATCAGTTTCTTGGTAAAAGCTTTCTGCCTTCTGCGGAAGTGACAGAGTCCTCTTTTCCCAGGGAAGTGTCTGTTCATGTCAGGACTGAGTGAGGTTCAGCTGAACCACATGGATGACCACACCTTACCTGGGAAGTACGGCATCGGCTTCACCAACATGGTGGAGAGGACGACACCAGGCAGCAAGGATCTGTCCAGGTAGCTGTAGAGCCGGAGCTTATGATGGTGTGGGCTCTCAGGTCCTGGGGACGTTGGTGCATGACGGTCATTGAGACCTGCCTGAAGGTAGCACGCTGTGTACACTCTGTGTTTGTGTTTCAATTTTAGTAAGGAATTCCGGGAAGGAGGACGAATCCTAGTGCAGAAACTGCAGAAATACCAGCCACGAATAGCGGTGTTTAATGGAAAATGTAAGATTTACTTCTACAGTTTTATATTTTCTCTATGCTAATGTCAAGGGCAGTGTTAAATATGCTTGTGTTATTCTATTTTAGGTATTTATGAAATTTTCAGTAAGGAAGTTTTTGGAGTAAAGGTTAAGAACTTGGAATTTGGGCTTCAACCCCACAAGATCCCAGACACAGAAACCGTAAGTCCTCCGAGTACATTGGAGACCAGGGCTTCTGGCCAGTTGTCCCCGTTGTTCAGACATGGCCGTTTTGTCATGAGAAAGCCCTGTCCTAGTAAATAAGTATCAGCTTACACTTCCAGATGCGATGAGAGTTTTATTTAAAAGTATTTGTCAGCTAAATGTCAGAGGACCTGGCTCACAGGACATTCAGAATATCCTCAATGGCAGTTGCTTAAGAATTTAGATGTACATATAAACACAAGCCTCACTGGTAAGATTAACTACTTCGTTTGTATATTTAATACTTGCTAGACAAACATCCAGCCACCCTTCTGTTGGCACTGTCACATAATCTCATATCATGAGATAGTCCTGTGGGTTTTTTTTTTAGCATTTATTTATCTACTTACTTATTTTTTATGTGTATGGGTGTGTTGCTTGCATATATGTCTGTGTACACGTGTGCAGTCCTAATGGAGGCCAGAAGAGGACACCAGATTTCCTGGGACTGGAGATACAGTTGTGCGCTACCATATGGATCTTCTGTAAGAGCGATCAGTGCTCTTGACCACTGAGTTACCTTCAGTCCTATACAGTGATTTTCTAACTAGTTCCCACAGAGTCTTTGCTGCAGACATGTGTTCCAGTTTTGTTTAGTACTTAAGAATATAGGCGTTTGGCTGTCTTGTTTTTTTTGTTGTGCTGAGGTCTTTGTGTGCATCGGGCAGTTACTGTACCACTTAGCTATACCCTGGCCCTTTTCAAGATAGATTTCATACGGTGCTCTTTTATTATTCAGTGTCCGGGGGTGGGGAGGCTGGTATTGGGGATTGAACCTAGGTTTCTCACATTCCAGGCAAATGCTCTGCTACTGAGTTATGTCCACAGCCTTCTTTTTACTTTTTGTTTTGAGATAGTCTCAAAAAGTTGCCCCAAGTTGTCTTCAGATTGCTCTACAGTTGCGACTGGCCTTGAATTGCTATCCTCCTGAGGAGAGGACGGGATTATAAACCTGTGCTACCAGGCCTGCCCTGGACACAGCTTTTTAAAAACCACATGGTGTACACTGAGGCCGAGGCAGACAGATCTCTGTGGTTTGAGGCCAGCCTGGTCTACAAAGCAAGGTCCAGGACAGCCAGAGCTGTTATACAGAGAAACTTTGTCATTTTAATTCTATATATATTAGCAGTTAAGAAAATGCCTCATGGGCCTGGCAGGATGGTCACTGAATTGGTTAAGACATTTTCTGCCAAGCCTGACAGCCTGAGTTCAGTGCCTAGACACGTGTGGGAGGAGGAGAACTGCCTCCCGCGTGTTGTCTGTCCTCTGATCCCACCTGTACACGCTACATACCTGCCCCTCACACCCAAAATAAGAAGGGGCCTCTCAGGCTAGTCTGATCTGGATAATTCTTCACATGAACCTGCCCCTTCCCAGGTGATTCTAGATCTGGGTCAGTGACAACCAAGAAGTAACTATGGCAACTATGGCAGTCCTCTCGGTGGCCCTGCACTTAGTGTACTCTTTACCACGAAATAAAAAGCTGTTGATGTTTATAGTGATTTAACTCAAAGAGAAAACAATTTACTCTTCTTTTACTTTGTGTGGGTGTGGTGGGGGCGTTGAGGGTGGGGCTCACTATGTAGATCAGGCTGTGCCTCTGCCCCCTGAGTGCTCGGATTAAAGCACCATCATACCCAGCCCGTCTACTCTGGGTCATTTAATTGAATGTGCTGTTATAAAGCATGCTAACATATCAATTAGGAGTTTCCTTAAAATGCTGTAATCAAAGAAAAGTAATTATATGATGAGGAAACCTCAAAGGAAATAATTACATAATAAAGAAACCAACTTTAAAAGTCCCCATAAATACAGTAGTGTATGCCTCACTTATGTGTAGAGAGGACAAAGCAACTTCTGCTCCTTGAAGGACAGTTTGTCAACAACCAAAATGATAAATATGTCTTTCCCTGTAGCTGTCTGGGAGCATTCCCAGAGTTAACGATAGAAGAAGGCAGCCTACCTGAACTGCAGTCAGCTCTGGTTAGTGGGTTAGAAGAGGGTTGGCTCTGGTTAGTGGGTTAGAAGAGGGTTGGCTCTGGTTAGTAGGTTAGAAGAGAGTTGGCTCTGGTTAGTAGGTTAGAAGAGAGTTGGCTCTGGTTAGTAGGTTAGAAGAGAGTTGGCTCTGGTTAGTAGGTTAGAAGAGAGTTGGCTCTGGCTAGTGGGTTAGAAGAGGGTTGGCTCTGGTTAGTGGGTTAGAAGAGGGTTGGCTCTGGTTAGTAGGTTAGAAGAGAGTTGGCTCTGGTTAGTGGGTTAGAAGAGAGTTGGCTCTGGTTAGTAGATTAGAAGAGAGTTGGCTCTGGTTAGTAGGTTAGAAGAGAGTTGGCTCTGGTTAGTAGGTTAGAAGAGAGTTGGCTCTGGTTAGTAGGTTAGAAGAGAGTTGGCTCTGGTTAGTGGGTTAGAAGAGAGTTGGCTCTGGTTAGTAGGTTAGAAGAGAGTTGGCTCTGGTTAGTAGGTTAGAAGAGGCCTTTAGCCTTGCCCTCTGGTCAGGGCATCTCTGAGATGCACTGCTGAGCGAAGGAAGAGCACATTGTGCTTGGTGTTTATTAAAGGATGCCCTGGGTGCCTCTGGTCACCCACGCACACTTGATGTTTATTAAAGGAGGCCCTGGGTGCCTCTGGTCCCCATGCACACTTTGGGAACTCAGGAGTGACGCCCCAGCCGAGGGAGCTAGGCCATAGAGACAGCTGGGAGGGGCTTCTCCGTCGGCGCTGCACTCTTTTGTTCCTTTCGAATTGTGAGATTCGGGTTTACTGTAAAAAGACAAAACTTGAGAGGAATGCTTGGGGAGCCATCTTTTTAAAGTACCAATTAAGCCAATTAAACCTAAGTTTTTCTAACCAGAGTATGAGTAGATTCAGTTCAATGTTAAAATCTTATACTTGAAACCTTGTCGATCCCAGCTCTGCTACGTCATGCCGTCTTCCAGTGCCAGGTGTGCCCAGTTTCCTCGCGCCCAGGACAAGGTGCACTACTACATTAAGCTGAAGGACTTAAGAGACCAGCTGAAGGGCATTGAACGGAACACGGACGTTCAGGAGGTGCAGTACACGTTTGACCTGCAGCTCGCACAAGGTTTGTTCCCTTCCCTTCCCTTATCAATTTCTCGTGTACAGAAGAGAAAGGAAGTTGTGGATTTAAAGCAGGAGGAAGGGAAATTACAACCAGATGCTGTGGTGATGGACTCTAATGTCTGTTCACATCTCCTCGTACCACAGCTTCCCCTGTTCTGGGTCTAAGGAGCACCTCCCTGCCTCCCAGTTTCCGAGCTAATTTAGTATATGTTACAAAGAATTTTAAGAAAAATAGCAAATGGGGCTGGAGAGATGGACGGCTCGCTCAGTGGGTAAAACAAAACTGTTTGCTCTTGGAGATCAGGTTTGGTTCTCAGAACCCACTTCAGGCAGTTCACAGCCCCCTGACACTCCAGTTCCAGGGGATCCATTGCCCTCTGGCTCCTTGGTCACCTGCATGCGTATGGGCTCATGGCACTCACACACACACACACACGAGTAAAAATAACAAATCTTTATATGACTCAGCTGAATTTGCATAGAAAACTCCACACAACCCCAGTTTCACTCATCTTCCACCTTCCCACAGAGGATGCGAAGAAGATGGCTATTAAAGAAGAGAAGTATGACCCGGGCTACGAAGCAGCGTACGGCAGTGCGTACAGCGGAAACCCGTGTGATAGTGAACCCTGCAGCCTTCCTTCCAATGGGCTAAGTATGTTCCCTCCAGAGGACTGGGAGGTGATGGGAACGTAACAGAAACAGAAAGGAATTGTTGGTGTAGGAATACTAATACTATTACAATTAAGTGACTAAAGGTTTTCACATCATTTTCCTGGGTCATGGCTTCTAAACCAACCCATTCCATCTACTTCTGAACAACAAATGATCTGAAAATCTAGTAGAAACTTGACATTGATCTGAAAAACTCGCTTAGTATTTTAATAATTCTTCTTTAATGCCTTTCCCTTCCCAGCAGCCAACAGTGCGGAGCTGAGAGGAGAAGCGGCTCCCGGCAACATTGCAAATGGGCAGTGGATGGCGCACCCGTGCACAGACCAGACCCCGTCGTTCAGTAACTGTGGGACACACGAGCAGGAAGGAAGCCATGCTTGATGGCGGCGCTTCTCAGCTCTGCCCGGTGCTGCAGTTTTAATGCAGTCAGCAGGACCTCGAGCCTCGGTCTCCTGAAGACTTAGAATAGTTCCTTACGCTAGGGTGTAATTCTGTGTGGAGCAGCTGTCTGTACGGTAGAGTCAACTGTATGAGCCTGAGTAGTTTGGAAGGAAAAAATGGGCTGTTTTGTACCTGAGTTTTGTATTTGAATTACCCATCATTCCAGCTTTTTATATACTATATTTGATTTATGAAGAAACGGGTTTTCTTTGGGAAGTCAGTTTGGTGTAATTTTAAAACGCAGCAGTCTGAATATTTATAGCTGATTCTTGACTGTGCATACCTATATATATGCCCTTATCCCTTTTAAAGCCTCAGAAGGGCATGTCAGTAAGAATCAGAGTAGGAAAAGGCAGATGTGCTGATGTCTACCTTAGAAGCTAACCCACCACCAGTGAGCCTGGTTAGTTTTGGGAGCTGGGGTTGGAGTCACACTCCAAATGCTGTGTATGGCAGTTGCTTAGTACTAGAAGCAGAGTGTAGCCTGGCCATGGGGCCTGAGCCCTGCCTTTGGCCTCTCACTCCTGGGTGTTGGTCCTCTCAGAGGCAGAAACTGCTGAGCTGATAGGTTCCTGAGAACACAGTAGACCTTTTACAGTTTGCCAATCATGTATTTTACTGAATTTCCCCATCAGTGTTTATCACTCTTCTGATTTGTGATAAGAAATGAACTTTCAGGGTGAGCGACATGGTGCTGGAGGTCTTTAATAATTCTTTTTAAACTGGTGCTATGTATGCATGGATTGTACTAAGATTTTAGTCAATAATTTAAAAATTACTGTCATTTTGTTACTGCGGACTGAGTGAACCTCATGAACAGGCCGACTTCCAGCTTGTTTCCTTTTGTAAATGTGTTTATCACCACCTCTACTTTAGTCCAAAGCTCTTTCTACCATAACTCCCAGCCGTAATCTGTGGAGTAGCTATCCTCTGTGTGCTGTGAACCTCTGTGGTCTGTGATGCATTTTCCATGGTGCTACAAATCGTCTGGCCCATTAGGGCTGGTGGATATAAAACTGCGTATTCAGAAATGCCTCTTGGATCATCCTGATCGCTCATGAATATTCTGTCTTGATGCGTACGTACGTACCCAAGGAGCATGCTGGTTTGTAGTATGAAATGTCCATGAGCTTTTTATTATATTCCACAGTCCGTCCTTCTATAAATAAGAGAAGCAGTTTCTTGTGAATCATAACATGCCTTTTAGCTGTAGCAATGATGGGTTTTATTTTTTCTTAAGTCTAGGTCAAGCTGTGTACGGGTCATGTTATTTATTTTTTTCACAAATAAAAACTTTATTTATGACAATCATAAGCATTACACACAGCTCAGAATCGTGACATGGCAGAGCAGAGAACTCAGGGCTCTGTTTAGCTGCTCTCCTCTCTTCCTTGCAGCTATAAGTCTGACAGAGGTGGTGGCCTGGACAGCTGCAGTTCTCAGTTTCTCAGACTGGTACCAGGGTCAAATCCAGGGTCCAGTATGTGGTACCCAAGGCTGTACGACTGAGGCACCTCCTCTGCCCTATGGCTCTTTATCTAACAAGTAGAAAGCGCCAAGGAATTCTGTTTTAGAATATGAGAGTCAGTTGACAATTACATGAACTGGTCTGAACAGGCTCCTAAGCTAAGGCATGTTTTTACCTTGATAAAGTAGTAACCTAACCAAATCAGAAGGTGCTTAGATTTTCCAGACAGTGGATGCAGGGGTGGCCTCTGTAGCCCCCCCTTTCCTGTGAACTGTATCTCACTCACACTCCCACGCCAGGCTTCTGCTCGGGCTTGCTGCACGAGGGAACCGCTTGTGTTCAGAAAAGGACGCAGGTTGTCTCTCACAACTAGTAGGACCTTGACATGGGAAACGTAGGCGAGAACCCCAAGGACAGGTCTCTAAAAAGCAGAGCTGGACAGGACAGTAGGTGAAAGCCGCTTTAGTTCTGAGCTTTAGGGCGAGAATGTATTTTCGGAGCTATAGTACACAGAGAACAGATTCTCCAAATTATGAGAAGACGAGCTTTTGACTAAAGAGGAGGTGATGAACACATTCACAAAAGGAAACAAGTCGGGAGTCAAGGAATCAGCAGGATCGCTGGGCTTTAGTCAGAACCAGGTTTCTGCGAGCTTCCAGAATCTTTGCTTTCCTCTCCTGGCGTTCTTGTTCATGCTTCTCGTGTTCTTCCCTGGTGTGGACATGGCTGTAAGTAAGCTAACTCTGCACACTTCTTCAGAGAACTATTTTCTTCAGATTGCCCCGAGGTTTCACCTTTCCCTTGCGTGGCTTGTAGTTGAGGGGACGAGACAAGCCTGCCTGGAGAACACCGGTTTCTTACTAGAGCCTGGAGTCTGTGCTGCTTCAGCGTCAGCTTGAATGGGGGAATAACTGCAGAGGTAGAATTCCTCTCTGTGGTCCAACTTAGGGGTCCCGAACACAGCCTGGCCTTTTGAAGGTGGGGTCACATGTGGAGACTTTGTTGTTCTGAGGTTTTGCTTTTCTTGATTCTATAAATAGTAGGGTCACTTCTTTCCTCAGAATGATCCTGGAAGTTAGGAACTCCACGGACTGTCTTGTGCCTCTTTCTTGCTTTGGTGACATAACTGGTTCCTTCAGCTTGCTCCTCACAGTTAATTTGTATCTCTGTCTCAGCACAGGAGACTGCAGAAGACTGATTCTCAGCTGATTTTTACCTTTTTCCCCCTTGTTTCTGGATTCAGGTTGGCTTTCAAGGCTCTTAACTTGCCTGCCCTCAGGGTAGCCCGGAAACCCAGCCTTTGGGCTAAATTTTGCAGGTCACTGTACTTGAAGGAGTCCAGCTCCTCTGCAGAGGGGACGGTCATCACATTCTACAGTCCTGGCGACACCCAGAAAAGCAGCCAGACAACTCAAACAGCACCGAACAAAACTGGCAGCTGAGTCATGTGCCGCTAAGATGTTCTGCACTGCTGTTTACATGGACACTTTGTGCGGGTGCTCTAAGTGCCTTGCGTCAGGGATCAGGATCAACTGAACCACTGTTGTCAGGGGACTGTAAAGCACGGAACTATGAATTGCTTCGGTAATAACTGTTGTAGCCTTACCATAGGCTTCCTTGAGTAGAGAAATCCCTTTAAATTATGACTGGAGAATGGGTGAGGGATGAGTAGTAAATGCTGATGTCTCCTGCACATGACAGCATGGGAGTTTTTCACCGAGACTTTACATTCACATGAAGTCTTCATGGTTTGACAATAAACGTTAAGAGCGGCCATACTTAAGGTGCAGACTTTTCTGTAGCAAGACTGAATGTGTTCTTCCTTGCTTTAGACCTGAAGACAGTTTTCTTCCTATTGTATTTAACTGGTAGAATAATGCATGAGAAAAATCATAAAAACTTGAATATTTTATTTGTGCAGGTATCTTTTTTTTTTTTTTTGGTTGTATTTTTCGAGACAAGGTTTCTCTGTGTAGCCCTAGCTGTCCTAGAATTTACTCTGTAGACTATGCTGGTCTCTAAGTCAACAGTGATTCTCCTGCCTCTGCCTGCTGGGATCAAAGGCATACACCACCACCTGGCAATATCTATAACTTTTAGTTTTTATACAAAAACTGGCAACCTTTTGAAAAAAATTGAAAAACCTTTAGCCAAGCATGGTGGCACGTGCCTTTAATTCCAGTGCGAAGGAGGCAGAACATACAGATCTTTTGAGTTTGTTGCCAGCCTGGTTGATAAGTAGCTTCTAAGCCAGTCAGGGCTAGAGAGAGAGAGAGAGACCCCCATCTTAAAACCAAAACAAACAAGAACAGATACAAAAATACCTAACTGAAAAATTAGAGACTTTTAAAGTTTTCTGATGTAATTGTCATCGAGTCAAGACCAGCCTGGTACACAGTGAGACCCTATCTCAAAACACCAGAAAGGGGTGGAGGGAAGTGGGAACCAGCCAGTCGTAATTATCACTTGGACTTGAAGGAGTTAGGTCCGCCTGTGTGGTACGTGGTTCAGTTGTCCTCAGCGGCTTTTCCTTACATTGCAGGTCATGTGTATCAGAGGTACTGCTGCTCATAAGGAACAGCGTTAGCAGGATCCCAAGGCACAGTGTCATCTATTGTGATTGAGTTTGAAGATCCCTGCAGGGTCAGGAACAAACCAGCTTTCCCATAAGTCATTGTGAACACTCGGGAAGTCCCAGGGCTTATGTCTTCCATTCCAGTGGAGTAGTTTAGCTTCCTGCAGGAAGTGCTCCGAATATCTTGCATCAGGATTCCAGCCTTCAGTGTGCGGAGGAAGACAGGCTTGTTAGTGAGTACAGTTTATATGGAACATTGGGTACAGGCTCACGGTAAAAGCCCCTCGTTAGTCACACCTCTGCCAACCTCACCCGGGTGGTACTACGGCCCACAAAGCTGATAAATAAACCAAAGGGTTAGACAGTGATTGCTTAACACTGCCATTCCTCGGAGTAGTCCACCATACTTTGAGCATATCCTCGCCCGGCGGTGGTGGCGCACGCCTTCTAATCCCAGCAGAAGCAGGTGGATCTCTGAGTTCGAGGCCAGCCTGGTCTACAGAGTGAGTTCCGGGATGGCCAGGGCTACAGAGAATCCCTGGGGTGGGGGTGGGGGAATATGTATCCTCTGCTATTAAATTTCTGTCAGTAACTGAAACTCCTCTGAGTAGTCAAGTGAGCGGAGGATGCTGTTTTCCTGCCCTCCAGCAACAGCAGAGTCTGCTTTTGTCATTAGCACAAGGGAGCTAGCTGACCTTACAAACCTTGCCTGATTCCCTTCCTCGGAAAGATCATGACCACCTTGCATGTCAGTAGTTGGCACTTCAACAGGTGTGAGTCTGCCTCTGCTCTAGGATCATAAAGTGCTTTTCCCCTTTCCTTATTCGACAGGTGTGATTCTGCCTCTGCTCTAGGATCATAAAGTGCTTTTCCCCTTTCCTTATTCGACAGGTGTGAGTCTGCCTCTGCTCCAGGATCATAAAGTGCTTTTCCCCTTTCCTTATTCGACAGGTGTGATTCTGCCTCTGCTCTAGGATCATAAAGTGCTTTTCCCCTTTCCTCTGCTCCAGGATCATAAAGTGCTTTTCCCCTTTCCTTATTCGACAGGTGTGAGTCTGCCTCTGCTCCAGGATCATAAAGTGCTTTTCCCCTTTCCTTATTCGACAGGTGTGAGTCTGCCTCTGCTCCAGGATCATAAAGTGCTTTTCCCCTTTCCTTATTTGCACAAGTGTCTGTGTTCTGTGTGCATGTCTGGAAGGCCAAAGTTGACACAAGTTTCTTACAGTATTGAAACAATGATCTTCAACCCAGAGCTTGCCAATATGGCTGAACTAGCTAGCCAGCTTGCCCCAAGAACCCTGTCTCTGCCCCGAGTCCTGGGATTGCTAGCTTTGTGTTGCTTTTACAAGGGTCCCTGGGATCCAAATTGTTCTCATGCTAACATGCAAGTGTGTGTTTGTTTTGGTTTTTTGAGACAGGAGTTCTCTCTGTAGCCCTGGCTGTCCTGAAACTCACTCTGCAGACCAGGTTGGCCTTGAACTCACTGAGATCCTCCTGTCTGTGCCTCCCCAGTGCTGGCTGGGGTTAAAGGTGTGTGCCACCCCCACCTGGCATGTCAAGTGCTTTTATACACTGAGCCATACCCCAGCCCAGCTTCACACGGCTGCTCTTAGAATTACTGACCTCACTTTGGTGGGATTTTGTGTATATAGAAATGGTGAGATTTGACTTAATAGCACTGAATTGCCAACTATTTAAGGCCATTGTACACATCACACACCAGTGGGCTCTGTCCACAGTGTTGTGTAGAAATTCTATGCTAAGCATCAGTCCATAAGCTTTTCTTTCTTTCTTTCCTTTCTTTGGTTTTTCAAGACAGGGTTTCTTGGAGCCTGTCCTGGAACTCACTCTGTAGACTAGGCTGGCTTCGAACTCACAAAAATCCACCTGCCTCCGTCTCCCGAATGCTGGGATTAAAGGCGTGCACCACCACCACTCAGCTTTTTTTTTTTTTTTTTAATTTCATGTTCATTGCCTGTATATCTGTGTGAAGGTGTCGGATCCCTTGGAACTAGAATTACAGAAAGTTTTAAGCTGCCATGTAGGTACTGGGAATCGAACCTGGGTCCTCTTAAAGGGCAGTCACTGCTGAGCCGCCTCTCCAGCCCAGGTTCATAAGCTTTCCGTGAATCCTAGAGTGTACTATCTTGCAGCTAAAGATAGCAGCTGTATTTGCAGATTCCGAGCCTGAGAGTTAAGGAGGTGGGGTGGCCAAGGTCACCCCAAGGGTTTGAAGCCCTAGGCTATAGGTAGCCTGGTGGTGGTCAGTAGGTACAACATACACTTCCCTTGTTTCCTGGCAGTACTTACCCAGGTGCCGGATGTGCCACAGAGGGTTGATGGTGGAATACTTGCCGTGAAACACAATCAGCATAGGGGAGGTAGCCACTCCTCCTCCCAGGGAGCTGCTGTAGAGGTTTTCTCTAAGACGTGAGATAGAAAGAGAAAATACCGAGTAAATGCTAATACGGCCCTTCAGAACAAGACGTAAGGTTTTCCTCTTTCACTTTCCCCCAACTTTTCATTTTTGGCTTGGGATCTTTGTTGTTAGAAACAGTCTCATGGAGAGCAGATTGGCCGTGAAATCCCTATATAGCTGAGGACAACCTTAAAAGTAGGTCTGTGGCCAGGTGTGGTGGTAATCCCAGATAATCAGAGGTAAGAAGCCGGCCTGGTTTCATAGCAAGTTCCAGGCCAGCAGGCCAGGGCTACCGAGTGAGATCCTGTCCCCCTCAAAAAGGAGACCTATAAAAGAAGCTCAAAATAAATGAAGTTTCCTCGGTGGAAAAGACTGAAGACACATTGCTAAGCAACCTACTCGGGAAATAGAGGGAATGAATCCCTTATTTCACTTCATCTCCGTTCTTCGGACTATCCTTTGGGGAAAGATTTTCACCTGTGCCCCTTTTCTTGGTCAACAGGTTCTATGAAAATTTACCCTCAGCGCTCTCTCTCTCTCTCTTTCCAGCTGGGGACAGCAGTAGTGGAGAAACACCCTCCTCCCCCCTCCCCACATACTCCACATTCTTCTGCATCCACTTTTCCAGCTGCTTGGTGATACGCTGGTGTTTCCATTCGGTCATGTTGGCGACAATCACGCCCGGATTGAAAGAGCAGGTGCTGGGGCTGATGCCAAGGTCCTTGATGGCCTTCTTCCGATAGTCCAGATAGCCCATGTACGTGTTCTGCAAAAGAGCAGGGTGCAGCCCTCTGTTTCTAGGAAACGGTTATGCTCTCAAAAGCTGCCGTTCAGTGTCCCTGGGCTTCCTTCTGTGCCGCCGCCGGTTTCTTTTGGTGTGTTTTGTTGTTGGAGGCAAGATCTCACTCTGTCGCTCTGGCTGTCCCGGGACTGGACATGTAGCCCAGACTGGCTTCAAAACTACAACAGAGCCGGGCGATGGTGGCGCACGCCTTTAATCCCAGCACTCGGGAGGCAGAGGCAGGTGGATCTCTGTGAGTTCGAGACCAGCCTGGTCTACAGAGCTAGTTCCAGGACAGGCTCCAAAGCCACAGAGAAACCCTGTCTTGAAAAACCAAAAAAAAAAAAAAAAACTACAACAGAGACCCGCCTACCTCTGCCTCTCCAGTGCTGGGCTTACAGGCACGGGCCACCGTGCCCAGCGTGTTTTTAAAGTTGTGTGTGTGCGCATGCGTGCACGCCACTGCGTGAGTACACGACAAAGGCAGGCTTCCAGGGCAGCGTTTTCACGGCTCCCCTTTTCTGACCTCTGAAAACGGAGTTCCCGCCTCTCTCCAGCACCTGTTGCTTTCTTTTCTGCCACCATTGGCAGCTCAGCCTGTTTGAGGGTGCTAAATTCCGTCTCTCCAGCCTTCCACTGCCACATCTGCCTAGTTGGGGTTGTATTTTTGTTTTGTTTTTGTTTGTTTTTCGAGGCAGGATTTCTCTGCTAAGAGTCCTGGCTGTCCTGGAACTCACCTTGTAGACCAGGCTGGCCTGGCTCTCAGAGATCCGCCTGCCCGTGCGCCTGCCCCTGGCGTTGCCTTCTTGATGCTTAAGCAGCTCCAACAGCAGCATGTACCAAGTCCTGTTAAGCTGGCTCCATGCTACATGCCTGCCTCAGGGGATAGTGTTTCTGTCCTTCTTGGTATTGAGGCAGAAGCCCAGAGTCATTAGACCAGACTTAGCTCCTCCTCATCCAAATCAATCCTGTTTGTTCCAGCTTCAAGATCCCTCCTGACCCCAGCCAGTCCCAGTACTCAGTGTGGCCTTCCCATTCCCGTCCACAAGTGCCACTCATTGGTCCCTTTTAAAAAATGATTTTATCAGCCGGGTGGTGGTGGTGCACACCTTTAATCCCAGCACTCGGGAGGCAGAGGCAGAGACATGTATGCACCATGTGTGTTCCTGGTGCCCAAGGGAGCCAGAAGGGGCGTTGGTCTCCTGGCACTGGAGCTACATATAGTCGTGAGCCTCTGTGTGGGTACTGGGAGCCCAGGA